ACAAGATAAGAGACCCAAAATGGTAACACAGATATCTCCTGAACCACCATCAACTCCTAGTAAGGCACTGATCTGTCATACTTGTGGAAAGAATCATGGTAATTAGTCATGCCATCGTGTCACTCGATCCTGTTTCAAGTGTGATAGCCAACAACATTTGATCCATAACAGCTTACTTATGAAAGAACAGCCAGAAGCTCCAAGACAAGGACGATAGTACACCCTTACCACATCAGATGTTAAAGCCAACCCAAATGTCATCCAAGGTATATATCTTGTCTCTAAGAACTTAGCTAGGGTGTTAATAGATCCTGGTTCCACACAATCATTTGTGTCACACACTTTTACACCAAGATTGGGTGTTACACCTGTTTATTTGGGGCATATCTTGATGATATCCCCACCAAGCACGAACGTATTACTTTATGATGTTATTTATAAAAATTGTATAACAGAGATAGCTGATAGAGAATTAAAAATATATTTGGTACTTTTAGATGTGGGGGATTTTGAAGTAATTATAGGAATGGATTGGTTAGCAACTCATTACACGACTTTAGATTGTCATAACAAGAAAGTTGTATTTAATATCCCTAATGAAGAAACTTTTACTTCGTAATTGAACGTTGTTATTTACCATATAGTATGATTATTTAAATTATATAATTTATTGAGCCTAACATGTAAAGGTTGACGTGGTAGGTGATAAAGATAAAAAGATTGATTTTTATGATATGTTGGTGGTCCCTAAGTATCCAGATGTATTCCTTGACGAACTTTCAATATTACCTCCGGATTGTGAAATAGAATTTTCCATTAATCTACAACTAGACACCTAACCAATCTTCATTTATCATTACAAACTTGTGAGAGCTGAAATGGAACAATTAGAAGTAACTAACATAACTCCGAGAGAAAGGATTCATTTGTTCTAGTGTTTCTCATTGGGGTGCTCTTGTAACATTTGCTAATAAGAAAGATGGAACCAAGCGAATATGTATTGATTACAGACAACTAAACTAGGTCACCATCAAGAATAAATATCCTTTGCCCAGAATTGATAATCTTTTTGACTAATTGTAAGTGGCCCAAATCTTTTTTAAGATTGATTTACGATCCAATTACTATCAAAGATATTTCAAAGACCGCCTTTCAAACTAGGTATGGCCTTTATGAATTCTTGGTCTTACCTTTTGAATTGACAAATGCCCCAACGATATTTATGGACATGATGAATCAGATGTTTGAGCCCTGGTTAGATTAATTTGTTATTGTATTCATTGATGATATATTGATTTACTCGAAGAGTTGATAAGAACATGTTGAACACTTAAGGCAAGTTCTGAAAACTCTTAAAAAAGAAAAGTTGCATGCAAAATGGAGTAAGTGTGCATTTTGTCTCGAACAAATCGCTTTCTTGGGTCATGCAGTTTCTAAAGACGGAGTATTTGTGGATTCATAAAAAGTTGAGCCTATTTTGAGACTGGAACGTCCCACTACGGTAAAGGGTGTCCGAAAATTTTTGAGTACGGGTGGGTACTACCGCCGATTTATGAAAGGATTCTCTAAGATTACAACCCTTCTTACCTGACTTACTAAGAAGGATGTTAAGTTTGAATGGACCCCAGACTATGAAAATAGCTTTAGAGAACTCAAAGACCAACATTTAACGGTTCTAATAGTAACACTACTTAGTGGATTAGGGAGTTATGCAGTATATACTGATGCGTCAGGGCAGAGTTTAAAATATGTGTTAATGCAAAATTACAGAGTCATCACTTACGGGTCAAGACAATTGAAGAATCATGAATGAAATTACCCCACTCATGACTTAAAATTAGCTGTAATTGTACATGCCCTTAAGATCTGACATCATTATCTGTATGGAGATATATTTGAGATCCATACCGATAACAAGAGTCTAAAATATCTCTTCACACAGAGAGAATTGAATATGCACCAGCATCGATGGATGGATCTTCTTAAGGACTAGGATTGTAAGATATTCGACCATCTATGGAAAGGAAACGTGATGGCTGATACACTGAGTTGCAACATCTCCAACATGATTGCAAAACTAGTAACTTCTGAATATAAGACTTTAGAGACCTTACAAGAATTAGAATGGGGTGTTCGCAAACTGGAAATGTATATAACTAACTTGAGAATCGAGCCAGTATTGATTTAAAAAATTAAAAATGCTTAAGAAACTGACACTAATATAGGGATTTTGAAAAAAAAAATTGAACAGGGTTTAAGGTCTATCTTCAGAATTCACGATGATGGGTTGCTTCAATTCAAATGAAGGTTGTGCGTTCCTAATAACCCTAACTTGAAGAGACTCCTCTTAGAAGAAGTGCACAATTCTAGGTTTACTATACACCCGGACATCACCAAAATATATCGGAGTTTACGACCTCAGTATTGGTAAAATGGGCTGAAGAAATATATCTCTGGATTTGTTAGTAAATGTCTCACATTTAGAGGATTAAAACCGAACACCAAAAGCCAGGGGGATTACTCCGACCTCTACCAACTCCAAAGTATAAGTGGGAACACATCACTATGGACTTTGTGATGAGTTTGCCTATAATCAAACTGAACCATGATACTATTTGGGTGATAGTGGACCGATTAACGAAGTCAGCCCATTTTCTACCAATAAAAACTACAGATTCTCTAGATAAACTTGTCCTATTATATATTAAGAAAGTTATTAGACTTCATGGAATTCCAGTATCAGTAGTTTTATATCGAGATACTCATTTTATCTCTAAGTTTTGGAAAAGTCTTCAACAGGACTTATACAACACTTTATCATTCAGCACAACATTTCACCCACAAACGGATGGGCAAACAGAAAGAACCATGTAGACATTAGAAGATATACTTAGAGATGAGAGAA